ACTGTCAAACATGTGACTTTCCAAACTGCGTCCGCATTCATTGTGCAAATGTCCAAATACTCAACTGTTTGTACCTACCGACCTGTACTCTACTGTGGCCATAAGCTATTTGCAAACGATCTATGTCGTACGTTTCGGGTGCAGCCAATCGGTGCTCATAAAACCGTTGCCGCCATGCGCCGATATATATATATATATACATATATATATATATATATATATATATATATATATATATAGTACATACTCCTCTATTCAAATAACCGTGGAAGTAACTGCGAATGTTACAACTCATAATGACGGGAATCACAAGAACTCAAATTATCCTTCATCTAGTGTTACTGGTTGAATGGGTGATTTGACTCTCAATTGAAGTTTCGCGAGGTTTATCGCTTTTTCGCCAGTGTTCGCCGTGCGTACTCTTGTCTTATGAGAGCCCTGACTTAGTGTTGTTGTTTGGTAACTCTGATAAGACTCTTTATTGCTGGCATTCGTCATTTATCGTCTCCGTACTTAGAAGACACGATGCGGTGCACCTAGATATAAGCACCTTTGTAACAGTTCCCTAACTTCTCACTTACATGCCACAGTGACTTTACTGATCCTAAAGACGATGAAATCACTGAAACTCGGAGTGACATTTCTCTCGGCAGGCATTCCACTGAAAACATATTTACGCTTCATCGAATTCAACGTCCCCATGTACACAGATTACTTGGCATGGTCGGTTTATCGCAGATTTTCCCAAGAATTGTCCATATTTGGATTCTTATCGTTACAGTTTTGGCTACGCCTTTCCAAAGTTTTGTAGCTTAACCGTATTCAACTACACCTGTTCAACACAGGCATCGATGTGAGGTCACTCCAGACTGGCAGAACTCATCTTTAAAGCGTACGCCGGAGCGTTAAGCCTATTTGTTTACGTGTTTCAAGTAATGTTTACATCGACTTGAACTTGGTTTATCAATGGTTGCTCGCGTTGATGCTAAGCAACGTAAAACCTCGGTACTGTGTGACCCGGCAAACCACATCTTGTGGTGTGCATTTGGAGTAGTGCGCCCCACAGATCGCATTCCACAAGATCATATATATATATATATATATATATATATATATATATATAAACTAAGTCTTTTAATGTGTATAAAATTCGTTACATTTTATTTGGTTTGTTCTGCGTACTTGATAATCTCCTAACTTGCACACGTCGCTCATGCAAATTGTGGTAAACTTGCGTAATTGTATCGCGTGGTATTTTTTAACTAACTCGGACATTTTGTACTTATCACGGATTCACTTGTAACCAATTTCTTCTCTATGCTCATTTAGCGAGTATTTATGTCGTCATATGCGTTAACTTTATTCGATATCGGCATTTCGAATGATTGGCTGTTGTTTGACATCCCAGGTGTGGCTGCGCTTGATGTGCATGTTGACAAGGTGCCTACCTGTCTAGTACCCACTACCTCGTTCATCTGACTCCAGGAGACAGTTGGTCATTGCTGGAGGGGACGGGGTGCACGGTCCTTGTAGTCATGCTAGGCTTGAAGAGTGGTTCCATGCACTCAGTGTGAAGAGGACTATGGTCCAGTCACCGCCTTGTGTGCGCTTGACTCCCAAATACAGCGTGCTTGTTTTTGCCTGTGAAGTTGATGGAACGTGGCTCCCATCCGCATGCCTCCCAGTCTTATTTCTTCGGGTTTACACTGGATATGGGGTGAGTGGATGGAGCTGTGTGCGGTTCAGCGCAAGCCACCCATGGTCCCTCTGTAGGCGCAGGCGCCCTGTGGCTGGCCAAAGTGATAGGCAAATCCGAAACCGGATGCCGCCGACCATACATATATATATATATATATATATATATATAATCAGCAGTCTATAGGATAGTCATAAAGCCAGAGAAAACCATGAAATGGGAGTAATAACTACAGAGACCACAATGAAGATCCCCATAATTTGGAGGAGCTCATTGAAAAGTTCAGTGCATGGTGCGAAGGCCAAACCAACGAGGCCTACCATGGTTATCTTTTCTTTTCGCGCACTAGAGGCCCAGACGAATCCGTCGACGCGTACATCACTGAGTTGAATATTTTTGCCCGATCCTGCAATTTCTGTAAATGCATTGGCGACCGTCACATACGCGATCGGATCGTTCTGGGAATCAATGATGAAGGTACGGCAAAGCGGCTTTTGTGACAACGTAACTTATCACTACAGAAGTGCATCGATATCTGCAATACTGAGTCCTCTATCACCTATCAATACCAGCAAATGGGACTCGCAACTGATGCAAAATTCTGTGCCGTTTACGGATGCGACGCAGCGAAGGTTACTAACATGAGACAAGAGATCTGCAAATTTTGCGCGCGCGACTTCCGAGCTCCAGCGAACAGTGTCCAGCATGGGGTCGAAGATGCGCCAAATGTGGGACAAGGAACCACTTTGCTCGTTGCTGCCGATCAACCAATGTGCGTTCGTTCATAACATGTCACCCGCAGATGCAGAACATTCAATTGACTACGTGTCTCGGAGTTTGCCGCAAACATGTGTCTACCTGAGTCTTTTGATAAGAGACAAAGCCGTACCATTGTAGTTGTACACGGGAACTACTGTCTACATCCTACCAAGGTAGCATTGTCCCATTGTGTGCATTCGATCCGATCAAGATTGCCTTTGTATGTGAAATGGTTCCAGACTTCATCCGAAGGGCTCAGCTACAATCGAAGTGGTTGACCCAAAAGACGGAACCTCACATCTACTGAAGTTATTAATCGTGGAGGAGGAGCTCACGCCGATTCTTGGCATTTATTCGATCCAGCCTCCCAGTTTTTGTTGTTTTTAATCATCATCGTTTCATGCATGCTTGGCAGGTAGAAACCGATATTAGTGATCAGTATCCGTCTGTGTTTAGCCCGGGTTTGGGAAAATTTGAAGGAACCACTCACTTGTCCTTGGATCTTTGATACGACCGACTGCGCTGCAGGCTAGAAGAGTTCCATTTGCGCTGCTTGACAAGTTTTTCGCTGTATTGAGCAAATTAATGAGAGGGGGTGTCATTGCCAACGTCGACGAGCCAACCGACTGGGTAAATCTGGTCGCAATCATTACGAAGAAGACTGGAGAACTACGCGTGTGTATTGACCCGAAACCGTTTAATGATACCTTGCGTAGAGTGCATTATGCGCTACCTACCCTAGAGGACATTTTACTGCGTTTGACCAAAGCTAAGCGTTTCACGATGGTAGACCTCTCTTCGGCATAATGGCACGTGATTCTAGATGAAGAATCTCGTTTCCTTACTACCTTTGCAACACCGTCCGGGCGTTACCGTTGGCTGCGTTTGCCGTTTGGTTTGAAGGTGTCGAGTGAAATTTGTCAGAAGCGATTGGCACAGGCGGTAGACGATTTAGATGGTGTAACATGTGTGGCAGACGATGTTTTAATCTATCTCTCGACCGAAGACGAGCATGACGTTGATCTCCATCGTTTCTCGCAGCGTTCTGTGCAAAAGAACATCAGGTTTAAACGTGAGAAAATTGAACTTCGGAAAGTCGAGGTGATTTTCTATGGGCATTTGCTAACTACCTAAGGGTTCAGGGTTGATCCAGGAATAACTAAGACAATTCGACGATGCCACCGCCTAACGATCTGAAGGGAATCCATCGCTTAAACGGTATGGTGAATTACTTGGGACGTTTTATGCCACGATTCGCTGATATCATTACACCGATCAGGAAGTTAACTCACATAGGAGTAAGGTGGAGTTGGAGAAACGAACAGGAAACCGCATTCGAAACTATTAAGCACTTCATCAGCAACGCGGCTGTACTCGGGAATTACGATCCACCACAGCCTTTAGAGGTACAGTGTAAAAGTAGCCAGTACGGAATAGATGCTGTTCTCTTACAGTATGGATTTCCGCAGTCGAGCACTTACCGTGACCGAGCAGCGCTATGCGTAGATTTAGAAGGAGATGCTCGTGGTAGTCTATGCTATGGAGCGTTTCAACGATTCTACTTTCAGAAGACAGACAACTGTGTGTACCGACCACAAACCGCTTGTGTCAATAGCCGTAAAACCGCTGCACGTCGTGCTTCGTCACCCTCAGCGTATTCTTATCCGGCTTTGGAAATACAACGTGGATATTGTGTACACGCATGGTGCACAGATGTTCATCGTCGTGGATACGCTGTCAAGAGCTCATCTGTCGGTACCCGAGCACCGTCCGGAAGAGATCGAAGCATTAAACCTAGTACAGCATTTGGGAGTGACAGAAGATCGCCTAACGGAACTAAGGCGCCACACACAGAGAAATATCTGCAATGTTTTCAGCTTCGAGAGACGGTATTCTAACTGTGTGGCCAGAGAAAAAGAAACAGCTGCTGTGGCAACTAACACCCTACTCCAATTTTCTGGATGAACTCTGTCTGCGATGGTTTGCTGTTCAAGGGAAGCCTTATTCTGGTCTTGTCATCGCTCCGAAGCGAAATGCTGAAATCCATTTACCGTGCTAACTATACTAACTAACAGAGCAAGAGAATTGATCTTTTGGGCAGGTATGACGGATCAACTAAGAGCTTATGTATCGAATTCGGCGGATTATGTCCCTGACCGACCGTGGCGGTTGGTTTATTCAGTGATAACGGGTAAGATTACTTACGGTGGATAACTATGGTGCTTATTTTGAAATCGATTTACTCGACACTGCGACCACAGAGGCAGTAATTAGCAAGCTCAGATGTCAGTTCGCGCGACACGGTATACCGCGGGAGCTGGTCGCTGACACTGGGCCCCAGTTAACCAGCGCTGCGTTCTAGACCTGCGCAACCAAGTGGGGATTCGTGCACCAGCAAACCAGCCCATATCACAGACAATCGGATGGAAAGGCGGAGTTGGCAGTGAAACAGACCAAGCGACTGTTATCAAAGGCTAGAACAACTGGCGGCGACACGTACCTCATGCTACTGGAGAATCGCAACATTTTCAACGAATATCGGTTTGAGCTCATTGCAACGCCTAGGACTGGAACTGGGACTAGGACTCTGATGCCAGCATCTACCACACTTTTGTGCCCAGTTTCGCCACAGCACGAACGATTACAGAACAATCTGATACGACGAATGACCACTAAGAAACGTTACTACGACCGCGGTACGCGGGTACTCCCTGAGGTAACAGTGGGGGGGGGAGTGTGTGTTCGACCGTCATCCGATAGTCAAGAGCGGTGGAAAAAGGTTGTGGTGACTGCGGTGGTCGGTGCCAGGCCATACGAAATAAACGTTCAGAAGGAGTGGAGTACATTTGGTACGACACCGGAGGCTACACTGTGGATTAGGAGTGGAGCGCCAGATAGCGTGAGGTAAGGAGACCACGGCCGCAGATACAGCGAAGACGACGCGGATTAGCAAGTTATACGGGATGGATAGCAATATGGAGGCGCAAGACCACGAACAATGGAGGATGTGATGGGAGTGTCAGATCAGAGTGAGCGAATGGATCAACCGAGCGAGCCAGACAGCCAGTGGGAGGCGAGCGTAACGGATTCGATTACTGGACTTTGATTGGCCGTTATTCGTGTGAGTGATTCACCGTACGGAGAAATCTCATCGATTCAGAAGGGATTGAATGTGCAACTTATATCGAAGAGTTTGGCTTGCCAAACATGCTGTACTTTTCGCGGACTTGACTTTGCTAAATAAACGCTTGTCCCTGAAGGACTGAGTTCTGCAACAGGTGTAATGAGGGCATTGAGACCCCGACGCTACTTGGCTACTGGTGAAAATTAACTGTTTCTGATCTCTGGTAGCCGCACCAAGTGAGTGGTAACAAGATTCATCACCGTTGCTTGGAAAACCAATCTTTCCGCTCCACACTGAAATGTCCGTCGAATTCGCTCATGCAGTCACATGTGCTCCGCATTTCTAATCGGAAGACATTATATTCATCATTCTTTTGGCCATGGATGACAGTTTCTTCTTTTATGTTTTAACGTACAAGGAGGAATTTGGATTCATTGTCTTGGGCCGATTGCTGTTTTCCTCCGAGGCTTTATAAACTGGGTTCGGCTCTTATCACCACAATAAGAATATTTTCACATAGTTCTTGGTTCCGGAAACAAAGGATCGCATACATACGTGAAGAAAATCGCTGACATCGCGAGAGAATGGAACTTTCACGAGCACAGCCAAATGAGAGAAATTTGTTCATTCTTTCTTTGATCAACCACATTGCTGGTTTCTCATGCACAAACACGATGCACCACATTCCACAAAGTTTAACCTAGTACTTATCTACAATATGAGCTGATCAATAGCTATTCGTAATCCACCTGACTTCCTGCCATTAATCCCTTGGTCTACCCAGATATTCATGAACTGCCGATCAAAAATCCTCTATCCAACAATGTTTCTCTCAAGCCCACAGGGTTTCAGATTTCGACTTCAGCATCTACGTGCGTCTGTTGCAACCCCTTTTAGCAAGAGGAGTATTCGATTTTAGATATAAGGAACTTTTATGAAATATTACATTATTGACCGCTTCATTCTTTCCGTCGAAAACCAGACATATTTTGACCAACAAACTCAATCCCGCGGTTTCTGATAGGTTTTGGTAACGCCATATCACGGTATTTCAGACGGCATTGTTTAACCACAAAGACTCGTTCTGAAAATTTATTTTGATTATCCCTCGGTAAGCAAAGATTTATTTTAACAAATCAGACCCCAGCAAGTACATCCGATCTGCAATCTCATCTACTTTTACACTTTTCTACATTTTCTGATTAGAAATCCATGGAAATCCACTTGACAATTTGCATGTCTATGATTAAGGTTTCAACCTTGTTGATTGGTCACGCTAATGTGGAAGTACCTCATTGCGACATGAATAAAGTTATCTTATTGATTTGTATTTTTTCTAAACGCTGCGCCTAAGTAAGAGGAAAATCTGAAGTAGTCGATCGACAACGTTGAGAAAACAGAACCGAAGTTGCAACAGGAAGTGTTGTTGCTGTTCATCGCTCCCGCGCAGGGGGACCTCCGGATCAGACATATCAGGGGCTACATAGCCCATCGAAAATGGTTCTCTTGCATTCGTTTTCTTATTTTCGATTCTTACCTTTGCCGCTTGTTATTTTCAACTTCTGAACTCATCATTATCGCTACTGCTTCGATGAGGAGTTAAGACAACTATTGTTCGTTGCATGCAGGATTATGATTCACCAAGGGAACCGAACTGAACCTTTTTCGCTGGCGCCCAGTTCTGAGTTACTGCACGTTGCCAGGACACTCCTAAACCGTACAATTGCAGATTGGTACCAGATTGCTCGTCTGGTTTATACTGGAAAGAAAATATTGTACCGGTCCGACCTACTCTCCACTGTACATCAATTTATACCGACCTACCGGTGGCAAAGGTTGTTGCCCGATTTGAAAAGTTGGTCAGTGGGAGTGCGTTATTTTCACATTTTCTTCGGTTTTGGCAACTGTTAGCTCTGTTGCTAGTGCATTTATCGTTGCTTTTTTGTGTCAGTGCTCGTTATGGTTCGTCTAATTAGCACGTTATCCCGCTTGTCATGCGTGTTTTCACCCCCGGCTTATCGTTCGCTAAATGCTCTTCCTACCCTACTGACCTTATGTTCTTGGCTACTCAGTATTGATGTGGCGGCGACGGCCAGTACAGTTTGACACTTCGACCCATTACGTCTTGTTTTGTTCGGCCCATGTTGCCGGTGCTCATCCTCATTTTTATTGGGTACTAATCTATTCTCGAGATGAAACAGTGGCTGTCAGAAGCCACTTTCTCCTAATATCGTATCCTGCTGCTTCTGCTCCTATTTTGCTTGAAAATTGCTTATTCTGTCACTGGGACCAATCATTTTTCACTGCTGCCTAATCACCGTTGTGGGGCGCATTTTCTAAAGGGACGATTCTGTCCCAATTGATGAGAATCTTTACACCCTCTTTACAACTTCGCATAGTGCACTTTTGCCTCCTCGCTTCCAGCCATGATTGATGGGGGCATATTTGCTGGATCGACATGAGTGCATCGTAAATTCGCCTCTTTACGGTGTTCGTCCTTAGTACTTGTCACGTTTTCATCTCTATGGCAGCGCTACTGTACATTATGCGTACTTTCGGTTTCAATCTCTCTGTACTTGGAACGAGTTCAGTTCGGTAGAGTTTAATAGCTATGATCCGAACGCCGAAATGCAATCGATCCAGTTGCCACCACTCACGTCGCCATAATAACTATAAATAGCAGTTTTAAGAAAATGAGATCTGAGCAAAATGGGATACAAAAAATGAAATCAAGTGCGCAAAACTAATCGGGATGGAATGAAAGTTAACAACTAGATGCAGAACCGCCCCTGACTGACCGACTACACCCTATCTGATAGTCTCCGACCACTAGTGTGAATCATTGCTCTACGCCTATCTACGAAGTCGGCACGCACCAGCCTGAGCAAGTCTCTCAGTCAGTTTCTTCATACCTTTTTGTCATCTCTTGGACTCGCCACCAACAACGTTTAATGCACACCGATGAGGCCGAACAGATTGTAATCAGGTTTACGGTAGATGGGTGGACAGACAAACGGCACCAATGGTTCGTCCTGGTCTATTGTGCCAAATGAATTGACCTTTTCCACGTTGCTTCTTCTCAACATCACAGTCTACGATTGTCTTCGTCCTTATTTGGATTTTTAAGGTAAAGATGGCTGGAGCTGGGAGTGGGCTCGTCAAATGACTTGCTATTAGACGGCTGAGCCCCCAGCTCATTGCTTGTCATAGCTGCTATGAATTCCCTGTGGGGTTTTCTAAATAACCGGTATGTTTGTGTGGATGTGTGTGTGAGAGAGCAATTGGATCTATGAGGTTGACTGGTAATCCGGATGAATTTTAGGACATAATCTTGCTCATAGGTATCTCAGTCGTACGAAGCCGAGACTTTCAGGATTCACTAGTTTTGAAGAACGCGTTACGGGACCAGCTCAAATGTTGTTCGGATTCCCTGGACTTAGATTGTTGTATTAGAACTCGAGCTGCGTTCCCCTTACTATCAGCTAGTACCGACGTTGGTCATCTCAAGGTGTTGGGTTGGTCTCCAAGCTGATTGGTTTAATTACAAACTCTTTGTTTCCAGACCGAGGGCCATCAACTATCTAGTCGGATGACGAAACCTTTGCAAACAAACCACCTAGCCCAAAGAACAGCCCGCCAGACGCAACTGTTGATTGGAATCCATTCATGAAGGGCGACTTCGGTTCCAGCACTAATGTCGATTAAAACGCCAGGTTGCTCACATGCGGTGGACACAACGTCGTCGTAAATCTGCTGATGAAGATAGCTGGTCCACTGTTGTGGTCTTGTAGTCAGGTTCCAGATGGGAAGCAAACACCAGCTGCACAAGTTTCCAGAACGCACACAACTCTGTTTCGGAGTGCGCACATTGAACGCCACTAAGTCGCAGAATTAAAAGTGACAGACCGGGGCCCATTGATCCCAGCGAGTCACTGCGATGGTACTCGAGGTAACACATTCGTCAGAGACGGAAATGTGTTGCGGAATCGGACATTGCCGATGGTCTATGATACAACTGAGTAGTAGACAAGTGGGGTGTGTTTGAAAATTAGTCACACTAGTAGTAGAGTCATCAGTGTAGCTATAGAGTGTGATTCTATTCCATTATCAGGTGGGCCGTCACTTCGAGCCTTTGGCCTAGATGCCTAACTCACACCATAACAGGGCGCGATGTAAGGATGTCGCACCCGGTATTAGCTAGTGACCGAATGATCGATCTGCTTGCCTTTCGGATGGCTATACTCCGGCCCACCGGCCCAGTACTCCCGATGACAATGACCTTATTTATTGTGCAGTCGCATCTGCTACGTCATTGCATTCCTATGCTTTAGCAAGCGGAAACCCACCATTCCATCCAGCGTTGCCGCTAAATTGTACAAGGTTGTCTATCAATTGCGAAGCATTTACGACTTAATTGGATTTCTCACCACAATAAAGGCATTCTCTAATTCGCGACCTAGAGACCCTCAACTAGTCTGCTGTCTACAGCTCGATTGCAGCAGCCATATGCAACGACATTTGGTCGGGTCAGCTGATGATAGCTTCCGTATGGACTACATCAGTGGTTGAAATCCTTATTCGATATGACATAGGGCGGAAGCAGGCAGCGCCTCGACATCCGATCTTTTCCATGCAGCTGACTACTTTCCGATCCGATTTATTTACCTGTTTCTAACCACCGCTAATTAAACTCATTTTCATTTCGACGCGAGTCATTACAGCTGTATTCGCTTCATATCAACGCTCTGAACATTGTTGTTTTTTCTTACTGAACTTGGGAGTTATCGATTCCACTTGAAGTATATCCTGTCCACCTGATTTCGCCGCTTCTCGCCCTCATTTGTCTTATAGACCATCCAGCATCGTTTGGCCGAAATGAAGACCAGTGTGTGTGTGTCACGCGCTTTTGTAGACCGTTGCTTGGAACTGCACTCTCAAGGCCGGTTAGACTCCGAATTGGCTTCCATGGCGAAGTATTGGACAAGCGATTTGGTCAACCGGGTGGCTTACGACGCGGTTCAGATGCACGGCGGATGGGGCTACATGTGGGAGTATCCGGTGTGTCGGACCTATGTTGACGCTCGCGTGCAGTCCATATATGGCGGATCCAATGAAATCATGAAAGAACTAATTGCCCGATCCATAGTGAAATCCTAATGGTCGCTTCACGTACTTGTGTGTGTGTGTGTGCCAAAATCTGCATACTTCATATTTTTTACGAAAAAGCGATTTAACAACTATTCCTTCAGCGCTGTGCACCAACTCTTCATCATGTTATTCTTTCCTTCATACATTTTCCATAAGCATACACAATTTTGCTTTGTATCGGCCTTTTTCCTTGCTTACTGTGTGTTTGTTTCAGCATTTCGTTGTCGTCTGTCTTATTTCTGATCATCGGGTACGCTTGTTTCCTCGTATTCTCCTGGTACCCTACACATTGTGATCTGTGTCACAATCGTTGCCAGCCTCTACTTACTCATATGTTATCATTATCCGCACCATATCTGAGATTGTGATCGCTCAGGCTTGCTACCATATGGACGAAATCTGTTATCTTTTCAGCGTACCATTAAGGATAACCGATACAGCTATTCGAATCACGTTCCAGCCCATACAGAAAACAATGACCTCGACAGAACCTTCGATCGAGCCCCAAAGTACGTTGTTCACAGTTAAATGGATCTAGGTGAATGTTCATCGCCATCAGAAACTAGCAGAGACTGGTTGAATGCTCTTGTGGGCTGGCTCCAACACTAAGGTACTCTCATTGGCTGATTGAAAAGGCCAGTGCTCTCATTGGTTGGCTCATGCCCAGTGCGCTTTAGCCTAGGTTGGTCAGCGCTTCTGGTGTGGCTGTTTGCAAAGAAACGGGCTTGAACGGCTTCCGTTAGATTATCCCTTTAATATCCTGTACCATCGTTTCCGATCGAATCACAGTCTCCTAATCACATGACTGATATTCCTATGAGACTATCTTCAGTACTTCAGCCAAACATTTCGAGGCCCATCCACTGCTTGCTCGCCTCAAATGTTTTTGCTTGGATCACTTACGTCATTCTCAGCTGACATTTGGTTAGTCCACTCGGTGAATATTGGTATCTGTTGCTACGATTTAAACCGACGTGCCTGTTTCCTGGATTGTGACTCCAGAGTCCACACGCTAAAGAAGCTCGTTTACTTTGCATTTTTTGAATTGTGGTGGACTTTTTTGCACAAAACTTTGGCTTTATTCCACTTCAATTTCCTAGCCGGTTTTACTCATCAGCAGCTAGTGGTAGGTTTGGTTTCGGGATCTGACTGTCGGGACTCCTGTAAGTCTGTTTGGGGATTCACACACAACCGTAGAGACTTTGTGTCGATTTACTTATCTTATTGGACAGGGACTGGTTTGATGCGTTTGCTAAGCGGTTCTCTCCTATGGTTAAGCGTTGCAAGAGAAACTGAGCAGTAAGGTTAAACATGTTCAGTTTATGTAGGTCTGTCCAGTTGCTGCGGTTGTCAGGCTTAGCATTATTTTGAGGACGCAGTTTGTGCAATCCTACTGGGTTACCATTTCAACACTATCTTACATGACCGCACTTAGCGTCTGGTCAGGCGCCGCATTCGTCAGCAGACATCTCGCCGACACTTTCATCTTCGAAATCACGTGTTCTAATGGATTTAGCATGTCCGATTGACAATAATACAAATAATGTGTCAGCTGTAAGCCGTAATGGCGCTTCGCTGCCATGCGACGTCCACCAGTTGCAGGCTGGCTGTATACCGCGAGGACGCTCACCCCATACGCGGATTCAAACCCGCGCCGCAAGATTACAAGCTCGCTACCTCTAGGCCATAGGCCGACGCATGTACGAGTATGGCGGCAGGAACTTCAGCTCATAGGATGAGCCCATGATCTTCCTTAGGCCATCCGGCATGTGGATCCTAGTGTTGCCTATGATCAGCCATGCACCATTCATCTCCACTCTGCAGCGTATACGCTTCAAAAGTACCTCGATGAACATCGAGAACTTTACACCACTTCAAGCACCATCGCTGATGATCTTTGAGTGGACCACAACTTAGTTATCCATTGCCAAAATCAGCGTCATCATGCCGCCTATAACTGTAGGGAAGACGCCGTGCGTGCGCGCCCCTCTTCTTGAGCTAGTCTGAGTCCATCGCAGATGGAGATTGAACCCGTTCTGAGCCATGAAGATGCATTTCTGTTTGTCATTCGGTACAGGTACCGTGAAGTCAAGAACGTTGGCTTGCCGGCTTGCGCAGGTCGTGGCACTGTTGACGTGGTGTAACTCGAAGTGAAACTTCTTGGGCGTTATCCTTAACCTCTTGAGAGCGTTGAAGACAGTAGATAAGGGTGGGTGGATCCCGTTCTCCTTCAGACGCTGCTGCAGCGGCACCAGGGTGTCGTCGAAATGCTGTTCAGCCGTTTCATCCACACGCTGCACGACATCGGTTTCCAGCTTCTCCTTGTTGTTTCGCTGCATATTCGTGCATTTTCTCCGGTATGTAATGGTGATGTTTCTTACCGTGCTCTTGTTGATATCGGCGACTTCAGCAGCTTCGTGGGCGGTTTTGCTGTCGACGAAGATAAGCTTGGTGAGGTTCTTCTTCTGTGCCATTGATGTTTGCTTGTACCGCCTCGGTTTCAAACATGCGTTCTCTCGCTGCTCGTCGCCCATTTATATTGTTCGTGCACTACAATGCTAACAAAGCTCTGCTGTGTTTGGTAAAGTCATGATAGCCTGCACGGATCTAATAATGGAGCAGCTGAGTAAGTTGGCCCACACACTCACAGTAAATACGCGGAAGCCCATAGGATCACAGGGCAAAATGTGTCACCCACTTCGATAGAGGTGAACCACGCCAACACCAAGAGGAAGGCTTGCACAGATCTCTTGTATTCGCATAACTAAAATGTGGCTGGATCATGGGCTAGTCGCCTTATTCCCCTGTCCTAGATATTACACTGCAACATTATGGAAGTAAAGTTATGCTGTTTTGGTGGAAGCATCATAGGCTGCACTGATCCAATGATCGAGCAGCTGAGTGGGTTCGCCCACACGACTTACGCGAACGCCCATAGAGTGACCGCGGACGTCTGGGTCGTGCCTGTCTGCTACAATAGTTGCGGTCCAAGTGATCGAATTGACCAAGGTTTACTTCAGTGGGAATCGCGGTCCCCATTGAGATCGCGCGTCGCAATCCATTCACGAAACGCGTGCTTCACAATTACCCTCTAAAGTTAGGTAACATTTGTTTCATACACGATAGACTGCGAGTCTAACTTTGCAATAATCACATAACTACACAGGTCTTTGTGTAAAGTCAGAAGCACGTATACTACGCGAAGATCAATGGGGATACTCAGTCACTGCCTTTGATTGAGGTGTTGGAGGTTTACGATCAAGCGAAAGGTTTATAGTGGTACCGCTGCTTACACAATTTAGTTGCATTTGCAAGACTACGATGTTGTCTAAACCTAGTCTAATCGCCTTACTCCTCATTTCTTGCTATCGCATTGCTTATTTCTGCTTAAAATGCAATGTGTCCAAAGTGGTTTGTAAAGAGTCTAATGTGTTTTGCAAAGCGTCCAAAGTGGTTTTTAAACGTCCAATTTGGAGTGAAAGTGTTATAAATACGACCAATAACAATACAAATAGGTCATCTCAATTCAGCCAGGTTGTCTTTTCTGCTTTTCCCCGGTTGGGTTGGACGCGGCACCAGGCAGTGAACAGAGACAGGTCTGTGTTACAACAGTGAGCGTTTGCGACACAGATGATAATCCGAGTGAGGGCAGCAAAATATATTGAAGCCTCGGCGAAAAATAGCAACATATGTGCGAAAGTTCGGCAGTGGATGATGAAATCTGAATAGCTAAGTACTCCGATAGTTTTAAAAATCGATTGGCTGCCCATAGCTCTTCTGCCGTTGTTGAAGCTTGGTGCATTTCAACACTTGCTGAGTTCTAGCCGTTCGTTAGAGTCCCAATGAAGGAGCTTACCGACGTTTGTGGATCGAATAGCAAAGCATCCAATAGTATGTCTACTTGGCGTTTGACGCCTGAAGTCTCGCGCAGTGTTTGTTAGCGGGTTCGTTGCTGGTGTCGGTGTCGGTTCCACGTCTCACTGTCCACTGGGGAGTCATTACCTGTTCATCCTCGACGAGCGGTAGGGACAACTTCCACTTGAACATCTTAACGCCTTGGTGATCATCCGATGCGGAAGGCAGATATGTTGTGTCTCTCTCCGGGATTAGGGTATGATGCACCGTGCAGTTTGCGGCCCGTCGGAAATTCGGCTGAAGAGTGACCCTCGAACGGCGCGGGACTAAATACTGTCCAATATACGAGCAAGAATCCATGTTGGGTCTCAAATTTTGTTCCTTTCCTATAGGACTTAAGTAGCGCTTGATCGAAGGTGTTGACGAGGCGTTCAGCATGACCAATCTACCGGGAGTGCTCCGACAGGGATCTAGGGAATACGAAAATATGCGAAATAGGCTGACGTGAACTGAAACTCGTTTCTTTTTGAAACAAGCGCAACTTGCGGACCGTACTGGACGATTCTTATTACTAACGAGTCCGAAGTAATATATGTAGTTGTCTACTAGAAACGTTAGCGTTACGAATGGAATAGTCTGTTAATGCAATATTATATAAACCCGACGGTAGACTGATAGAAAAGAGGAGAATATTTAGGCACTTTATCTGCTGGAAAGTTTGGGAGTAATGAAACCATGGGAGATCGGCTGCTTCCTTTACTGACCACGTGCATCCATCAGCAACTGCCACTCTATAGGCCCTATGTCGATGACGTGATTTGCATAGCCGGCGTCTGCGTAGACCAAGTTGAATTATCATGAAAATTCAATCAGGCCCTAAGGAACAATGATTTCTGCATGCCACCTGAGTCAATTGAAGTTCTGGCTTCCCTGTATATCCAAACATCACGTCGACCAGATGGCTCACTGCGGCATAGAATCCACAGGAAAGCGATGTGGACCGGTCAACATACACATTTCATTATCTTCGTATCAATTTGACAAATACTAAAGTTAGTCCGGTGTCTTGTAGAAACAACGATGATAAAATGCCTCCCAGACACAATAGAAGCGCGACCCTATAAACCTCTTCCTTTAATAACGGCTATCGCCAAGCCCTTATTGACAAGAATATGCGAATTGACTCTGTGATCGCTAAATTATCCACAGTAGGAAAGAAGCCCGTCTACTTATCATTGTCGTCCGATAGAGACAACGGTTCCACAAACCTTAGCAAACGCTTACGAGCGGCCGTAAATAGAACCTATGGGGTCATACAGTTACGCATTATCATCACTTCCACGCCCATGCTACACCTCTGGCTGAAGAATAA